TAAAGTATTTTACAGTAATAGTGCAGTGAATATTTAGAGATGCGCATAGAATGTATTGTTTCTTTCAGAAATCAGTGAATTCCAAATCTTAGTATATATTAAGTCTGCTAAAATGATTCAACCCAGTAAGCATTTCTTGCTTTACAGTATACTTGAAATCAATTATGATTGAAAATAGTTTCAACACCAAGACGCATATATAATAAATCACAATATGATTTTCCCTCTTTTTTGTCTTTAGGCGACAGTAAAATCTATGAGAGGTACCATGCAAGGGTATTTCTTGGCGGGTCGAGCCATGCTGTGGTGGCCTGTAGGGGCTTCCCTATTTGCCAGTAATATTGGTAGTGAGCATTTCATTGGACTTGCTGGAACGGGGGCCGCCTCTGGAGTGGCTGTTGGTGCTTATGAATTCAATGTAAGTATCAGATCTGTGTGATCAGTCAATATACCAAATACTGTGGAATACTTTATTTTCGCTGGAATTAATTTTCGCTGAAAAGGCTTTTTGGGCGTTTTGCTTGGAATTTATTTTCACTGATTTTTGATGACTTTAATGTGAAATATAGGAAAAAAAGTATATTCGCTGGATTTTATTTTTACGGAATCATCCCTTCAGCGAAAATAGCGAAAATAAATTCCAAGCGAAAATTAAGTATTCTACAGTATGTGACTGGTATGACACAGCTCTGTATTGTGACCAGTATACCGGTAATCTTTGTTGTGTGCAAAGTTCCAAACAACCAATCAATTTTACTACTGTATTTATCCGGGTAAGAGCCCATGCCTGGGCAAAAGCCCCCCCCCCCCCCATTTTGATACAATGAAGAAATTGAGGTCATAACTTGGCATACGCCCCTGGAGTATTTCCTACACTTGTACGGTAATAGAAAAAATGACAAAAACCTATTTCTTGTTTGTTGTATTAACTGTTCAGTTATTAGTTTGTGAATTCTATGAACTATATATATTGTAACTGTGTATGAATTTCTCTTTACATTTGCAGGCAATGTTTTTGCTGTTGATGCTAGGATGGGTGTTTTTACCAGTCTACATGGCATCTGGAGTAAGTAGTTTTTATTTATGAAATGATTTATGTATTGTATATGTGCATTTTTTACATTGTTATTAATCAGTCACATATGCGGTAAATACATGATACTGTACAATACTTTATTTTCGCTTGGAATTTATTTTCGCTATTTTCGCTGAAGGGATGAGTCAGTGAAAATCAAATTCAGCGAATATACATTTTTTTCCTATATTTCACATTAAATTCATCAAAAATCTGTGAAAATAAAGTCCATACAAACTATCCAAAACGTCTTTTCAGTGAAAATAAAGTATTTTACAGTAATTTATGGTCAAAATATGATGGTACTTTATGATAGAATATGATTATTTATGGTAATATATGATAATTTATGGTAATATATGGTAATTTATGAAGATGATGTTATGAGCTTCATATGTATGTTCCAATGTGATGTTATGTTATGACATGATTGGCTGAAAAAAAATCTCATTTGCATAAATTAATATTCATAAGCAATGACCAACTCTTTTCAGTAAAACTTTATAACAATAGTTATAAATTGACTGATTCTATTGTTACAAGCTGAAAAAAAATTGAAAAACTGATGTGAAAGTGTTTTTTGTGACACTTTTTTTTCCAGAAAACTTGATCATAGCAAGTTAGGAAATTTATGGAGAACGCAGAGGCACATTGATATTTCACTCCAGTACTATTGCTAGTATCTTTTACCAGTGACATGTTAATTACATATTATGCATTTGGAGGAACTAGTAGCGCCAAAGTGGTTGTCAGATAAATTGTTTTGCAATAGACTCAATTTTGGGGCCTGTGTATTTCTACGTAATTTTTTTGTAAAGTTTTCGTGAGCATTATTGTGCAAAGAAATCGCTGCAATGATTTCATCCATTCGGTAAAAGGGACGTTGTTGCTTCAACGATGGCCTACAGATGACTGACTTCAAAACATTCCATCGACATTGGACGGGGCTCTCTTGGGCAGTCTTGAATTCTCCAACGCAGGCACGAATTGGCTAACTACTCAGGTTTTGACTAAGAATTTATCTTGTGAATCTCTCCGGCACTGACCTAATTTTCGCCAAGCTACTCTCCAGTACGTGCATTAATTTATTTACAGAGCCAAGATAATCAATTTCCTGCTTCTAACTTCTGATAGACCCACAACATGATTAGTCCTGCTGGGTGAGGTGACCTTGACAGTGAACAACCATTCTGTACTCAATTAAAATGATATTAAACATGGGTGGTGTATAGATAATGTACAAAAGTAACTTGCAGTTCAAAGATTTTATTTCAAAGTTCTATTTTAAGTTTTTGCCAATTTTACGTGCGATTTTATTGTATTTACACTACTTCTTTTTATTGCAGATTTTTACTGTACCAGAGTATTTAAGACGTAGATTTGGAGGTCAGCGTGTCCGTGTATACTTGGCATCAATAGCGCTCTTACTATCAATTCTCACCAAAATCTCAGTATGTATTACGTGTGCAAAATCTTTTCCTTGAGAGAACAAGCACAAACAAACAACTCACATAAACAATGTCTACCATATTGAATGGCAAAGTCAACTTCTGTCTTTTCTTGATGATCTCTTCAATTCTCTAATTTTAATGAATATTTGTGTACATTTTGTAAAAAAGGTGAAACCACAAGTCTGATTGCATTAATATTATATACATACATGTAGGTACTACATGTAGACCTCTCTCAGATTTGTTCATTTCATGTTGATATCTTCAATTCTCCAATTTTGATGAATATTTTTGTCATTTTTGGTAAAAAGTGATATTTTCGACTTCTTGTTAAAAAAGGCAAGTCCAATTGCTTTGATATTACATATATAGGTACTACCGGTACATGTAGACCTCTCTCAGATTTGTTCATTTTGTGAAGATATCTTTAATTCTCTAATTTTGATGAATATTTTTGTAATTTTTGTTGGTAAAAAGTGATATTTTCGACTTCTTGCTAAAAGTCCTCAAGATTTTGTTATTTTTGGTAAATAACAAATGATATTTTCGACTTATTGTTGAAAATTTTTTTTTTTTATATTATACATACAGGCACCTCAGGTAGACCTCTCTCATATTTGTTCATTTTCTAATGATATCTTCAGTTGTTCAATTAAATTATATGCATTACGAAGCTACAGCCGAGAGGCTGCTGGTTTAATAATTGAAAAATTATGTATATTTTGACCAAGATCATCAAAGAAAAAAATGTACAAAATTAACAAACAAAAAAATACTTAAAATTTTGCATCAAAATTTAGGCGGGAAAAAAGATGGCATGAAGAAAGGTGGATGCAAAGATCATAAAAAGAGCATTAAATTTTAATAGCTGTATCCGCTGTTTGCACATCTCATTTAATCCTTATTTAAACAAAGTTTCTATGTAATGTCATCAGTTGCAGTTGAATGTTAACCTGTTAATTCTTATATCGCCAAGGCAACTTTTGTTTACTTTCACACAAAAAATCAGCATAAATATTGATCAAGATCTGTAGCCAATTGGAATTTATGTTCATTTGGTTCAAAATTGACCAAAAAAATTATAAAAAATACATAAAAATTAGCAAAATTTTGGCGAGAAAAATATGGCATTCAAAAGGTACACAATTTCATAATTTTTAGGAAACAAAATTTCACAAAATTGACAGTGACTTGTAATCCTAATTTTTGTTTTCTTTATTGTTGTTTTTTACTTTCTCAAAAAGTGTGATCAAGGCCTGTTTCAATGGAAAGATATTTTCATTTGATCAAAAATTTACTACAAAATAAATAGTACTTTGGTGAGAAAAATGATGATGTTAAACAAGAATATATAGAGGAAATTCAAATCAGTAATCGGGACTACCATTAGTTATGTTACACCAAGTCTATGTTCACTGACATTGACATTGTTAGTCTGATTACATTAATTATTAATTGAAATTTGTAAACCATGATACTGGTATAACGTAAACATAACGCTTTATGCCGCTATGCCGCCATAACTCATTGGGCAGACATACAGACTGTATGATCAGGTCACTGATAATCGGTCGTTTGATCATTTAACCCAGGAAGTTTGTCTTTTTCATTTTGGCTTATCTATGAAGTCTGCCCTTTGCACCTTTTGTTTTTGTTTTCTGTTTATACTAACAAAATTGCATTGCATAAGGGCGGAAAC